ACGAAGAAAAAAAACAACATCTCCTTGAAAAGGGCCGCCCTGTCTTGCAGCGTCACGTCTCTTTGAGGAAATTGTTACTCGAGGATCGACCCTACATCTTCATATCCGACCACAAGGAAACACTTCATAAAACTTTGCCCTCTCTTGTTCATCAGTATCCAATCATGGGAAAATTAGCCCCGCCAGCACTTTGTCATTTACCTACTTTATGAGGAATCATCCTTGCCAACACTAGTTCAAACCCCCCCCCCCCTTGCCCAACGTTTCCCTCTGTGATTCCTCGTATTCGTAGCAAGGCAGTGTTATCTGTTGGAGTGGTGCTATTATCACACTATATAAAAGTGATGCAGGTAAACATCATATAACCTGGAAGACCATTTAACTGGAACACAAGTTCTGTTCTCTACTCTGACTACCCCCCCCCCCCCTCCCCTCCCACCTTTCAATCAATGGATGTTTTGTGATCTTTGAGAGCGGAGTGTAAAGTGGTTAATATTGTATAGATGTTCTAAAAATGACCCACAAAATAAACAATGAAGTGTTGAACAGACTTCTTCAGGAATCAATTGATGATATGCATATTCTAGGACCAAGTTATTTGGACTTGCCAGTCAAAGGAGAGAGTCTAAGTACAGACTCTCCCGCTGCCTCCCTGTGTTGTCTCATGTTAAGTGATCTGATGCATGATACCGTTGCACAACCTGTACCATAAAAAAATACTTCACTCTTGTAATCTATATTGGGCATTTTTTTTTTATTTGCACTTTGCAGGATTTCACCAAACCTGGGGATGAAGAAATGACATTTAATTTTTTGTTTTTAAACAAGGGATCCCTACTAGTGCGCACATGATTTTAGAGCTCACGTCTACCACAAGGAAGTGTTTCCTCTTGGAGACTCAGACACACTAAAAATCGACGGGGGCGTCAGCGAAACTGCTGTTTTTTTATGCTTTGTTATCATTCTTTCTCAGTGCAAGAGAACACCAAAGACCAATTTTTCTCCCTGTGAAATATTTTATTTCACTTCCGTTTTACTGTCCTTCCTTTTCATTTTGTTGCCTTATTACTGTCAGCCAATCAGAAACTACCAGGTCTTGGCTCAAATTAGCTGATTTGATTAGATGTTTTTTTTAATTTTTTTTAGGTTTTTGCAAATTTAATGATTTAAAATGATTCATGTGATTTTCATTGAGTGTATATAACAAATACAATCAACAGCATTGGGTCACAAACTACCAACCATGACCCCTGCTCGAGAGGCTGGCAAGATTAACCAAGTGTAACTAACTGGACTGAATGGGAACAGTCAGGTCTGTGTGTTTGACCCAGGCCTGTTGCCGCTGTTGCCTGCCAGTATCGCTCCCTGGATCGACTCCAGTTTGTGTGCAGTGCAGTGCAGTGCACTCTTGGCTATCCCGCAACACTCTCCAGGGGATTCTGTTTACATCATGTTTTCAAAAATGGGGTTTGTAGTCGAGAGAGAACAAGTCGACTTCGCTGTGAAGGCTGTCACAGACCCAAGGGATGGAACTGCTAATGCTTTGCCCAGCTTCTCAGAGATGTAATGGCCCAAAAAGTGTCTGAAGTCTGTCATGAATTTTCAGTGTGGTTCCAAGAATATAAAGTACTTTATATTGCATAAAGAATGGTAACCCATTTAGTTTTGTTTTTTTTTGTTGTTGTTTTTTTTTTATTTTGGCCTTCTGTAGTTTTTGACCCACTTGTGGTTGTTGTTTCTAATAACGTGATGCTGAACTAGAAAAAAAAAAAAGACTTAACATGAGGTCCCATTGAAGCATGATGACTGTGTAGAAACTGTTGTGTGTATGTTGTGTATGCGTGTGTATTGTACACCTCACTATTGGTGTGTTTTAATACACGCCTACCTTTCACAATAAGAGTCCCCCCACCCACCCCCAATCCTGCCTGTCCGTTATCTGGTTGCAGTTATTTGGTCATCCCAGATATCCCCCATCCTCTCCCAGGTATACATCCACCACAGTGTTTCAAAAAATGCTAGTTTTATATGTCAGCCTATATTTTAGGAAATCTTTGTTGTAGCTTGTTTAATGGGCCTGTGAATATCATTGACTGAGTTAATGATGATGCTCTTGAAATTAAATGGGGAAAAAAAAGAAAAGAAAGTGACATTCCTTCAACATGCCCTCCTCTTCCATTCTTGCTCCATGTCCGATCTGCTCAAGATACATGTTATTATTACAAATAAATATGTAAAAAGTATATGAAAATATAAATAAATATGTAATAAGAACAAACTCTTTTTCCTCCCTGAAAATGTCTCTAAGTGTTGTTTCTTTTCTGATCTATACTTTGAGGTTTTGTATCACTGATTCCAGCCTCTACTTGCTCTGAATTGTAGCCAATCGCATTACATGATATTAGGCCGCTAGATGTTTTCCAAGCCAGGTGGAACAGATGGTGTGCAAGACGCAGCGGCCCGGATGCTCTGTCCATCTGCCTCAAGTATACACTTGTTCACCAATCCTTGTAGATGTAAATGGATGCTGAGCTGAAAAACAATGTCTGATACATGGGTGTGAAGCCTTTGAGAAGCTATGAAAAGCCCACATTTCAGTCTGTGACTGGTTGTGCCCCCACTGGACAGGTGGAGTCCTGCCTAATTGACTGTGTCTCCCAGGTCTCCCTGCTTCAGTAATTTCCCAGCACCACAAATTGCACTGTGTCACCTGGGGGGTGGGGGGTGGCACCAGGGGCATAAACTGGGTCACACCACCTGAGGATAAGGAGCTCGAAGAAGCGGTCAAATGGGCTGCATGTCACCACTCTCACAGTTCATTTCTTCCCTAACACCCTCAGCCACACACTGATACAGAACCTCGTGCTTGGGAAAGGTGTAATGCGGATCTGCTGAATTCATTTTGCAAATTTGGTATTTCTGAATCCCATCATATGTATTGTCAAACTGGGACTGCTGCAAGGCTTCACACTGAAATAGGAGCAAAACCAGGAATAGAAGACAGAAAAAAAAAGGTTGTGCGCATACACAGTACGTGCATAAACTTGAGCCAAAGCTGGGGAAAGGTCGGTGATGGTGAAATTATACCGGCCTCTTGCATGATGAATTCTGCTGCTTTATCATCTTTACATCATTTTTAGCAAAACTGGAAGTTGATAATGATCCTTTGAATCATGTTGCGTCATTATAAGGTCAGATCATGATGCTACAGCTCATCTCTCTGGGTGTTAGCTGTCATAGATGTCCACTTTTGTACTGAATGTACCTAGACTGCAAAAGGACTTATAACTAGTTTGTCTGTATCGCTAAAGATGACATGGGAAACACAGATCTGCGATCTGTACAAGATTTCATGGCACTCCATTCGATAGATGTCGATATGTGGATATGTCATCCACAGAGCTGCTCCGCTAATGTAGCTAACAATCACGTGATATCCACTGGTGCAATCTTGGTTTGGTAACCTGTATGAAGAAATCTGAACTCTGTGACCCAGGTTGAATTTTCTAACTAACCAGGGAAAACATTCAATCTGGATTACACAGTGCTGGAAATCACACAGTGTGATCCTATGCAGCTCCAAGAAAGCTCAGTCTCTTAATTAACCTGATAGTCGTGCTGCCCAAAGGCCTCCTAACTAATCTGCTGAGTTCACTGTGTTAACTGGGGCCTTTCTGCCTGTTTAAACCAGACGGACGGATAAAGGGAGCACTGCTTCTACTGAGACACGTCCTTTGTCATATCTAATATACTGAATGACTTTGCAGTTGTAATGGGTCCCTCCTGTGGGTACCCAGCTCAGTAATGGGGTCAAACACAGGCTCATCCGCCCTGTTAACAAAGTTTGTGTCTCTGTCTGTCTCGCTTCTTCACAGATGTGAACATTTGTTTCCCTTTACAGCCTGTGAAACAGCATCTCTTGCAGCCTCTCACTCACAGCCATAACGTTTGCAGCACAGGTGTTTTTCAGGCTGCTGCAGCGTGTGCCATTTTTGGGGCATACTGAGCGCATTCCCCTTGCCTGTGGGATACAGTGGTGAGAAAATAGCCCATAACCGAGAGCGAGTCTAGGCAGGACACAAGCCACTACAAACGTAATGGAGACATTATGGTCCCAGCAGGAGATGGAGAGGGAGTGAATGACTGTGCAGCTTCAGTTCACTCAAGGACAGACAGGTGGTCAAAACAGTAAAAAAAAAAAAGATGTTGGAGCCCTCACAGTCCTCCACACTGTGTAGATTTGTAATGTGCCATAGGGCCACATTCACCTACAGATGGAGGTTTGTCTACTCTGTGCAAACAGATAGTTTTTGATCACAGTGTTATTCACAACAAATAAGATAAAGTAAGAAAACTAACAAGATGAATAACTAGAATAAAATGAAATGAAAATGAATGTAAAAATACCAGTAAATCAATAAATAAAATAAAAATGGTCAAACAAAATACTAAATAAAACAAAGTACAGTAAATATAACCAACTAAAATACAATAAGAGTACTAAAAAGTAAATCAAATAAAAATAAACGTAACCAACAAAATAAAATAAAATTAGGCTACATTAAAATTACTACATACATGTATATTAATCAAAAAATAAAACAAGTATAATAATATAAAATAAAACATAAAACAACATACAATAAATGAAAGTTAAAAGTAAGTAAGTAAATAAAATAATTAAACTAATAAATAATTAACTAACTAAATAAATAATTTACAGCACTTTTATTTCAGTATTACGGTAGCGAGGTAGGCCTATTAGTATTTTTTTCTTCATTTTAATTAAAGCCAATCTGTGTATCAAATTAAAAAAAAACAAAAACTGTTGAGCATTTCAAACAAGCATTCAAGTTTTCTTTTCCTGGTGATGAGGAGCGGACATTAAAGGTGCGGCGATGAAAATTACGCGCACTTCCGCTTTAAAAGCGGAGCTGTGAGAGTCGCTGTTGATGCCGAGCCACAGAGCTACCTTCAGTTCGGCGGGTGTCTGCTGCACTGTGCGCAGTCTGCTCGCCGTCAGCGCAGTGGACTGGTTTATCTGCGGTGAAGACAAACACGTGAAACAGTCCCGTGTTTGGATTTTAAGTCCCTTTGTTTTTCTTGTGTGACAGCTGGGGGACGGAACTTTACGCAGGGGAACGACCGGTGAGTCTGCGAGGCTACACCTGAGGATATTTGTTCAGGGTGAATTTGAAACCAGTTTGCATTCTCCTCCCAACTCCACACTTGTTGATGGGGCACTAACAGGTTTTCCCAGCAGTCATCACGGGGATATTCTTATGCGTAATTTGGATAAAACCCTGTCCGACGGCGGCAGGGCGACGGAAGTTTTAAGCTTTGAGGGTTTGTGGCAGATGGTGATGATGTTTGGCGACCGGTAACAGCTTTCGGCATCAGATCGTGTTACACAGGCTGCTACCAGGTGAGCAGCGGCATGGGGAATCAGATGGACAAGCTGTCACATTTAAGTTACGCAGAAGTTCCCACGGTGGACCCGAACGGCGTGGACACGGAGGACGGACCACGGATCGGCGTCTCTTACATATTTTCCAACGATGACGACGAGCTGGAGGAAGGCTGTGCGGTCGACGGCACGGAAAAAGACCCGAATCAGGAAGAGAAACAATACGACCAGCGCGACGAGGTGGAGTGCGCCGTCTACAACAGGGATGAATGCATTTACGAGAAGAGCGTGAAGTCTGCCAGCCTGGAGGTTTACTCCCCGGAGAATCTACTGAACAAATGTAAAGCAGGTGACCTGGTGGAGTTTGTGGCCACGGGACAGTACCCGCACTGGGCGGTGTATGTGGGGGACTTCCAGGTGGTACACCTGCACAGAGCCGAGGTGAAAAACAGCTTTCTGACAGACGCGAGTCAAGGGAGGAGGTGCCGGATTGTGAACGACTTGTACAAGTTTAAAGCTCTCGGTGCGGACATGGTGGTGCAGAACGCGATGGAGCAGGTGGGCTTAAAGGACCGAGAGCTGAGCTGGAGGAACTCCGAGTGCTTCGCAGCCTGGTGCAGGTTCGGCAAGAGGGAGTTCAAAATGGGTGGGGAGATACGGATAGGCAAACAGCCGTACAGGCTGAAAATATTCATGTCGGACAAACATTCACATGTGCTGGAGTTTCAGAGCCTGGAGGACATGGTCATGGAGAAGAGGAGGAACGATCACCTGGGCAGGACAGCCGTGTTGCAGGAGCTGGCCACTCATTTCAACAGCGTGGAGGAGACAAAAAGTGAGCCGGGCGCTGACTGATGCCTTCCTCATGCTCTTCAGAGATAATTTGCTTTGCAAGTAGAGTAGCCTCTACCAAACACAAACTGGTACAACCTGCTTAAACCTATAGCAAGCCTGCACTCCTTCGTTTTGGTTTTAATTGGATCACACGCCATGATTTCTACTTGAATTTTGTCATTTTAATTGCGCATTTTGGTCCGTGTTTCCATGAGTTTATAGCAACGTTATTGCCTTAAAGCCACAATTCTCAACATCCTCTGACTCTATATGGCCTTAGCAATTATGAATTCAATTATCTGAAAGAAATTGAATCGACTGAATTAATCGATGGGCTTGTTTGTGGCTCCTGCAGCCCCTCCACACACCCACACACACACACACACACACACACACACACACACACACACACACACACACACACACACACACACACACACACACACACACCCACACACACACACACACACATGCATACATACAGAATGTATAGTTTTATAAGAGCTTTACACATCTGTCTTCAAATGTCATGATTCTGTAAGTAGAGTGAACGTGTCTTTATTCATAGTGTGTCCTGTCACTTGATCCTTGTGTGGTTTAACTTCACCTCTCAGCTCACCCAGACAGTAAAGTGTCAGAGCTGAACACAAGAGGGATTCTCTCTGCCTTTTCGAGGGTCATTCTCGCACCAGCACATCTGAAGAAAATGTTGTGGAGTTGGCCTGTGTTACACTGATCGAGTAAGTCTGTGTGAAATGTACCCAAAGTCCGAGTAAACCATGAATCATTGTCTCTTTTTCAACAGAGTCTTCTGTCATATTGTCTTATTTACATGCATTAACAATCTTTCCTCCTTGAACACACGGTGTCTGTTTGATCAATTAACGCTGAGTACATGAGCTGTGTATTTAAATGGGCAGTCCTGTCCCCATCATGTGATATAAAAGTTTTTTTTTACATCAGTATAACTTGCTGGGTTACAGAGGTTAAATGTTTGACTTGTTGCAGAAGAAGCATTTTCTGAACTGTTGTCACAACAGAGAAAATTCAATGAGTATTTTCCCTGGTAATAGTTCATGGTCTGTTTTAGCATGTAATCATTTGAATATAGATGAGTGCTGTCTTCACAAACACAGGCTGCATCACCACAGCCAACACTGACATAGCTGAAATGTTCAGTATTTCATCAGCATGATTTTACTCCAAAAATGTATTATTTCAGAAAACTCCTTGCTGCTTTAAAGTCAAAGGTTGCTAGACTTTTTATTTGACTATCACCAAAGTTTTTAGACTTCCATGAGGCTGACGATCCATCCAGTGCAAGATTACAGCAAGATTTCCAACAAGTCTCCTTTATGTGATAATGCAGTTATAAGCCATTAATGACCCAGTTTTGGGTTTCCCAATTGTGAAAGAGCCCGCAGAGTGATTGGTCTGTATGACTGCTTATCTTGGGAAAAAGTGGCTGCAGAAGATCTGGACCAAAATTAATGTATTAAGAACTTAAGAAAAAATGAGTTAACGATTTATTACCCATTAATAAAGCCATCAGTTACAACCTTTATAAAGTGCCGTATTAGAAGGTGGTACTGCATGATTTATGGTTGATTCATGGGTTGTTGTGAGCTAACTTTTGGTTTAATCCTGGTGTTTTCGTCTCAAATTTGGCTCACTTTTAACTGTGGTGTCACCATGGCAACCTGCACCACGGGGCTAATCTACCTTGAACTAGGGCAGACTATCAAAATGTATAACACCTGCTTCCTCATCAATCAACTCTCTGAGAAAATTAAGGCCTAATTCCTGCGGGCAGTACCGTGACTAGTTGGGTGAAAGATTGTGTTGATTCCAGGAGCCAACAGCTGGAAAGGGCACACAAATATTGCATTAGGATTAAAAATGAACAAATAGTAAAACAGCTAAAGCAATATTCTTTCAAGCGATCCAGAATTCCTCCTTGGGGCCACGTTAGGGCATTCAGCTGAAACTGACAAATAACAAAGTGGAACTATGAATAGAAACAAATTGTAGGTGGCAAAATGATCATAATATCAACAAGCTAAATTTGTCGTTGTATATAAATTCCACTGCATATTATTTCGTAGCGATCTAGATAGCCCTGAAGGACGTGGAAACACTGTAACACAGAGTGTTTTTACAGCCTCAATTTGATGACACACCTTTCTGTATCAATGGAAAGAATGCGTGCTACGACTTCATGATGGCAGCGATAAGCTTATTTAGTTGTAGTTGTAGAAGCCTACAAAAATCATGCACACATGTTCACTTCACATACAAGGTATAAAAGTTTATTGTGTCCAAACGGATGTGGCGAGAATGAATATAATGGCTGCTGGAGTCAATCTTTATAGACAACTGTGGTGTGGTAGACTCACATCCTCCACATCTATTTGTCTGCTCCTTTGTGCCTCAGTGATTTTTCAAACAAAGATTGCAGTTTTTGAAGCAGGGACAACTGCACTGTGTGTACTGAATTGTTCCATTCAACAGAATGAGGATACAGTCAACATCTATAGCTTAAAACCTGTAGCTGCTTCCCCCACAGTTTGAAATACTAGAGTATTTAACTTGAAATCATCTATGACAGTCTGTCAGAGGTCTGAATATTCTGTTACAATTACCACAGGGAACAAACAGAAGAAAACGGTATGCTATATGTGCTACATTTTGACCACATTTGTACTGGCCTCCTTAGACACCATGTGCTGCCTTTCACAGAGGTTGGTTTGATGTCCCTTCCAGCACTGTGATTAAATTAGGACATTGTAAGGCCTCCATAGGGTCTTTTCAAGCTCAGCCCTTCCTGAGTATATTAGACAACTTATATTGAATAAAGTGTAATTTAACAAGACAGGAGCGCAGCTGTGCAGATGTTACTGCTGTAGCTGTGAAGGGGTAATATTCTCATGTAAGTAAATGTGGGAACATCCTATGTGAGGTGCAGTGGTGTTACAGGTCTTGGTTCTTGAGAGGTTTGGCAGAATTTGAACTTCACAAGAGACGAATGTCAGTGTGATGAGGCTAAGAAGGCGCCTTGTTTGAGGGTGGACATGAACTGTGAGCACGTCTTCCTTGTCAGACTGTTTCATTTGAAGGCTTGAACAAGTCAAAGTATCCAGTCGCTATATGACAAGAAAAAAGGGCAAAGCATTACATCATTTTGTTTTATACTTTCGTATTAAGTTTTAAAAACCTCCATCTGATCAATGCATTTCTGTCCATAATTAAATCCTATAAACCTCAAAATGTGAAAAATCTGCATGTTCAATGTCAGTCTGTTAGAAAGCCACTTATTTGAAGGATTTTCTAGCAATTAGTGTTTGTGCCTTGAGACAAGAAAGAAGAAGGCAGGTTGCTGCACTAAAATACTTGAAACAAATTCATTTAAATTAGAAACAAATAGAAATATTGCCACCACAGATGGGCAGATTTCATTTCACAAGTTTTAAGAAGAGAAGAGTTTAAGATCTCAATTTAGAAGCAAAAATCACAGTAAGACAGAGATTTTTAGATCTTCTGATCCCAGACATTTATCTTGGGGACACCCTTGGGGAGGGGGCTCAAGTCCCATGGTTGGGAACTACATCATTAATGAACCACCGGCTCTTTACGCAGGAGGTCTTCTGACCAGGACTTTTCCTGCTGTGACTCAGTCAACACTCAAACGCAAAACTTTGTTTTACCATGTTGGCGCAGGCTCTGGAGCAGCATTCAGGTCAGATATAAGTGTAAACAGTTTTAAATGTCATCTGAAAACCCTCTTGTACCAACAGACCTTTTATTGATGTTCTGTGTGTGTGTTCTTAGTTTGTTTGTTGGTCTCATGCTGTGTTTGGATTGACTTGGGAAGCACCTTATGATATTTGATATAGAAAAGTGCTTTTTAAAATAAACTTAACTTATTGTAAACTTCCTGAGAAGTGTAGGTGAGGTAGAGAGCAGGTTAAATTGGTCATAGATATGAACATGTGAGTGACATCATTGTCTCTGTGATGGACACATCCTGGATGTTTCCCTCCCTCTTGCTGCATGCAGGAATGGCCTGATGGGATCGGCTGCACGACCTCCAAATTAATATCACTAAGGTTATTTTATTTATATACAGAGTGTTCCCTCTGTAGTATACAGTCTGACTGCACTTACAGTGAAGCAGCAGTCATCCAGCATTAACTGTCTGCCAGGCCATTCCTCCGGATGGGATGTGAAAGCTTGGACATAGCAGATGCAACCCAATTATAATCAACTGCCAGTGCTTGCCTCCAGGTACCTCAGCCTGTCGCTGCTACTGTGTAGATTTTGTTTCTGTCGGGTGCTGATGAACTGATGAAATTAGTTGTGTTATAAGAAAGCATCACAATGGAATTCATGTCCCACTGTGGCTTAAATGCAAACACTCAAAGAGACATTTACCTTATAGTGTGTGTTGGACAGTGCATTTTAACAAGCTGTGTTTTCATGATTTTGAAACAGTGTGCTTCCCATATCTTTACTGTCTGTATCATGTAGATAAGTAGATTCCTATGAACACATGAACAGTCATAAACAGAGGTTTAAAAAACCTGTTTGGGGGGCTCATCTTGATGTAGTCCTGTCCTCATTCTCACCACACAGGATTGATTTAACATTGGAAATACCCTATTTTCCACACTAACAGAAGACTTAGCACACCATCAGAAGCTTTCAATTCAAGGACCTAGAGACTGTGACAGGTAGGCTACATTTATTTATTTTTGCTCAAGGTTGTTGATTCAGTTGAAGATTCTGTAAACAAAACTTTAAGCAATAATATAGCAGCAAACAGCATTTTTTTTTATTTAAATGCATAGTGGAATAATGGCGTCCTGAGCAGAGAACTAAGTCACACCACCACATACTGTATGTTGTAATCTGAGATTCTCTGTTCTTTGTTTTGGTATCCCGTCTGGCAGCGCGTTCATGTTAGTGCGTGTGCACGTGCATGTTACATCCTCCCTACCTTTATGAAGACACAGGCACCGCCCACACACAAGATGGCACAGTGCAGTGCCCTGCTGTTCAGGTGAAAGCTGCCTTTAAGTATTTCCTCCACTGAAGAAACCACGTTTTCTGCAAAAAGGAGTCCTACAAAAGAAGAGATGAGACCAGAGCACAGGTGGGCTGGTCATGGGGACTACTGTCTGAAATCCCGGTCGCGGTGGCCTGTAAAAACATCTATTAAGGTTTTTTTTTTTTTTTAATTTTAAATTTTTTAAAGTTTTACCGGCTCCTTCAGTGTCTTTACCTGCCGTTAGCGCCGCAGATACGAGGCTGAATTTCTGCCCGTGGAACCAGCACTGGTCTGGCAAGATGGAGAGCTCCACAAGCTGATGAACAGCTCCCGCTTGACTCTGGAACT